GTTGCCACCATGACTTATAAGCTTGTGTTGACTTCTTCAGATTCCAAGATACGCAAGGCAACGAAGCTTTGGATGAAGATCCGCATAGAACGCTTTGTTGCCAATAGTAAATTCCGTCGTCAAGAGAGCACTCGCGGAAGTCTTTCTTCAAAGTACCGGGAACATCTTGATAAAACCCAAATTGGCGACTGAATCGATGAGGACTATACGGATCAATGTAAAAGTGGTTGCCTAGATGCCACGTAAGGTAGTTAGACCGAATCGCCATGAAGTACCTCCATTCATATCTGGGTCTTTGTTGATTATCGACGTATCGGGAAGTCTGGTCTTTGATGAAGATATTGAAAGTCCATAAAGCGGAGTCCCCCTTGTGGATACGTCTGCGGGCTTCCTCGGGGTCAAAGTGCCTTGTGCCGTTCTCACCGGAATATGTCACCATCAAGGGCTTGTGCGTTCGACCAATTGCGAAGTGAGTTCTGAAGTAGAGAGCCAGCCAGCTGTAAACAAAGTGGACGGGAAATGTCGATCGAGATGGACTTTTGCAGCTTGTAAGCTCGTTCAGCCCTTTATAGATGCTCGTCAAGACCAGAACCGCAAGGCCGACTATATAACCCTTTGCCATCATGCTTGCCATCTTGAAGGTGCTGGGGCGAATTATGTCGACGTCGTCGTTGGGAAGGACGAACGTGCATATCCAACAGGAGAGGTACGCCGCCAAGTGAATTTCTTCTTGCAGCGTTAGCTCACTCACAACCATCTTCTTGAACAATTGATCTTCGCCAGAGGTCCAACGTCGATGTTCTTCAAAAGTGCCGGGCGGATTATGAGTTAACTTAAGGCGAATAACCCTCTTCTTCTCTCCGTTCCTCTTGTCGGCACGATTGGGAGGTTGTCTGTAGTTGATGGTCTTCTTTGACCAAAAATGCAGCCATCGGTCAATTGACACTTGTCCATCGTCGGTTTCTTTGCACAGTAGACGTTAGGCGTGGAAGAGGTATCTGCAGCAGTGAGGAAGGCATAAATTCTTATCTTTGTTGGTCCCGATCAACTCGTTTGCCTCCGGCACCACCTCGTCAAAAATGAACCCACTCAATGGAAGTACTACCAATGTATGAAGATCCTGTTGGGACTATGAGGATCTCGATATGCACAAATCACGGATAAACATTCAAACATAAACCTATGCGCAGCGGATCTAAAGGTTTGATGTAGAAAACTTACGGCTTAAAATTTATGTAGATCTGGCTGGCCCGAACGGATGACCGAAAATCAAATCTTCTCGGAATCGAACAAACTTGACCAATCTAGGAAGTTGGCGTCACGGCGAAGTCAACGGCGTTGACTGGTCAGGAATCGGAGCGTCCACGCGCTCTCACGCGCGCGTGTGAGTCTCAGCAGCAGCAATCCTCCGGTGGCACGTGTAGGCGCGTGCGGCGGCGGCTGGCGGCGATCTCGACGGCGATCTCTCTGACTCGTCGTCCTGGTCGTCGTGGTATGGTCACTTGCTGGTTTTGGTCTCCGGTTTGGATGGATGATAGATTTGATTGGAATCCCGTATATACCTTAAGATCTTCTACTGTATTCTCAACAGCTATCTAGATCTTGTATCAGTGGAGCACAAGAAATAGAAAAACTCCTTAGAAGAGAGAGAGAGAGGGGCAGACGTGTTTGCTAGGGTATGGGATTGTGTGTTCTCTTCCAAGAGCCTAATGCTGTATATATAGAGCTACAGTAGGGACCCTAAGGAGAATAGGATAAGGGCTTCTAATATATTAATACTATGGAGCAACCCCATAATTAATATATTAATAATATTAAAGTCCACCACAATAATATTATTGCACTCCCCTCACCTATCCCAAATTACATTTGAGACTCCTTATTATAATTATCCGATTTACCTCCCCGTGTTTTAAGATATAATGTCCATTAATTAATTCGATCACTGATAATCAAGAATTAATTTATATATTATATTACCGAAGCTAGCGCTCGCTCATAGCATTCATATTATGCCGGAATAAATCCACCTGCAGGGTTTAGCATAACATTCCTTCATGAACTCACTTCGGGGACATCATCAGACTAACGCACATGGTGACCGTAAATATCCTAATAGCACGCCGAACACATAATGTCATTACCCAATTCATTAAGTATGTCGACCCGGCTTGGATCTCACCCAAAGAATCAAAGCAACAACAATTATGTGCATATGTCTAGTTAATATCTTACGGGTTAAGAGCACGCAAAAATTAACTGAGGCCTTGCTTGTTTACGACGATCAGTATAAAATGGACATCCCTCTCTGGGATCCTGTTCAATACATAAATGTACTAGTGCAACTAATCGG